GGGGGAATGGAAAATGGAAGAGAGTCCATTTGATCCTCTTCAGTACCAGCAGCAAACAGCCGGGTTTGATGAATCATTAGCATATATAAAAACAGTGTAGGCTGAGGAGGGCCCCTTTGACGGACTGTTGGGATTTTCTCAGGGAGCGGCCATGGCAGCTGCTTTAGTCTGTGCCCAACAAACACGAAGGAGACCATTAAACCGCCAACAAATGAAGATGTTGGACTTGAGTGTTGTGTAATGGAGGTTGATGAAGACGATGACCACCGGCGCCGTGAGACCTCCTGCGTTCACCACCCTGTGAATTTCCAATCAAATCCAAGAGCTCTGTTCCCCTTTTTCTGCAACAAAAGAACATGAAGTCAGAGAAAGTAACAGAACACGACAAGGCACTTCTTCCTCTCCATCCATGCAGCTCCTCGCCTGCAAGACCCTCAGCTTCACTCTGGCCACCGTTGTCAAAATCAGCGAAGAACTTCAGTGACCGCTGTCAAACGACTAGCCGATCGTGAAGCTCGACGTTTTGCACTACTTCAAGCTCTGGTTGCTTCTGCACCTCCGCCATGACTGCTGCCTTTGAATGTGATCAACAAAATCAAAGTTTGTCAACTCACACCCAAAGATCTCCTCCGTCTTCTCTCGAACTCGGCCTGGGTTTTCACCCACGAAACTCAGCCTTGCAGATGGCCTTATAAAGAAAAAAAAAAAAAAAAAAAAAAAAAGTAGCAATGATTATGCCGGGAAGCATATTTCAAAAGAAAAAATTAAAAAAAAAAAAAAAAAAAAAAAAAAAAAAAAGGTAGTAATTATGATGCTGGGAAGCATCTTTTAAAAGAATAATAAAAAAAAAAATTAAAAAGAAAAAATGATGGTGCTTCTGGAGCCATGTGCAAAAAGAAAAAAAAAATATATATATATATAATAAAAAGAAAGAAAAAACAATGGTGGTGCTTCTGGCACCATCTGAAATATATATATATAAATGAACGGTGGATCAGCGCCACCGAAAGCAAAGGAAAGAATAAAAAAATGATGATGGACGGTGATGTACATGTTTTCTCTGTATTTAGCACAATACACTAAATAAAACAAAGCATGTTCATTGATTTTCCAGAAATTACAAGTTTGTACAAAAAAAAAAAAAAAAAAAAAAAAAAAAAAAAAAAGATGGAGCTTTCACAAAGGTCGTTCACGTGAAGCTCCACTACTCGGCCAAACTCCAGGAGCGGGAAGCACCGAAGATAGATCATTCGAGGCCCCAATATTTGGTGGAACGCTTAATGACGCCGGAAAAATGTGCCTCTGGAAGAAAGACGCAAGCCTTTGACGGTCGCTTTGAATTCGACCTTGAGATTCTTGCATCTCATCAAGCTTCCTCTTCATGCCCGACGAATAGTTATTTGCAAGCACATGCAAACTTCTATTCTCGTACTTAAGCTGTTTAATCTCCTGCTTAAGATCTTCCACCTCTGCCATCAATGATTCCACTTGACGGGACCGAGCAAGCAGTCGTTGGCCCATGTTGGACACAGAGCCCGCACACTGAACACTAAGAGCAAGGGACTCTTGAACGGCCAACTCATCGGACCGTCCTGAAAGCAGCCTACTATCTTTTGGTGTGAGGAGGTTCCTAGCTACTATTGTAGCTGTTGTGGCGTCCTGCATCACAGAGTCTTCACCTGTAAGAGGACCGTTAGAAGATAAGAAAGAAGGGCACCATACATTACCTTGAAGCGGCGCAACCGGATCACTGCTGAGACTCAATTCTAAGCTAAGGTTCGATGGGTTAGCCATTTTTCAAAGGTATTAAAAGAGATGGGTGGATGAAGTTAAAACTCAAAAGGCCGGAGATGATTTTCAGGAATGAGCAACCTTCAAAGTATGCATGTTACAGGTGATCAATACCTCTATAAAAAGGAAGAGGCGCTTGCTCAGAAATCAAAGAGGCGTTGGAGGGCCGCTTATTCAAAAGAGAAGAGACATCGCTCTGCAAATCTCAAAAGCTGGATTTTCCGGCGTAAGTTAGGCGACGCTTTCTCGGCTTTCCAGAAAACGCGTTCAACTTTGTCAAAAGATCTCCGACAAAGTTGAAAACACGTGGAGACTGGCGACGCTTTCGCGGCTTTTCAAAGCACGGGTGCCACTTTGTCAAAAGATCACGTGGAGGTCATCATCGCAGCTACACGTCTTTAGCTGACGAGCGCAAAGTTCGGCGACGCTTTCTCTGCTTTTCAGAAAACGCGTGCCACTTTGTCAAAAGAGACGCTTGTTCAGAAATCGAAGAGGCGTCGTTCAGAAATCAAAGAGGCGTATTCAAAGATCGAAGAGTCGTCACTATTTCAAAAAGCCGAATTTGCGGGATCAAAACGTTTGTCGACAAGGGTAAAAGAACAGTACCACCACTTGCTATTGGGAAATCCCTATATATGTCGACCTTCATCTTTTATGGCAAGGCAGACCTGCGGGAAAAAAAAAAAATGCCCAACTCTTCCTCACCTCCGAGAGTACACTCCCAGCAAAACATCTCAAAATACTCAATTTTTTCGTCTTCCCCGAAGGTGATACCAGATGACCCAGGAGGAAACGGTAGATGGAAGCATGTGCTGATTCATTCACCGCTTCTTCAAAAGCAAAAGTATCTCATATCATCAAGGGCGAAAGCAAAGGTATCTCATATCATGCTTTTTCCCTGTCCTTTTCTTTGTCCTTGCTCTTACATGCAGGAGAAGGGGAAATAGAGTTATCAGTCGGAACCTGAAATCAAACTTCCGACCTGGAACTGATTGCCTGGAACCTTTGCCTGGTTGCTTACCTTGCATTGCTCTCGAGTACTCATCGTCGCGGAGAAGTAATGTTTTGAAGCACCATTTAAATGCAAAGGTTGCATTCCATTCCTGCATCAGAGGACAAATACTACACGAGAAGATGCCAAACCTGCATAAGGAAATACCACTTCTGCAAAGGGAGCAAGTAAGACAAGTGAAAATGATACATCAAAGCATGTGGAGACAAGCACAACAAATATATGTGCTGATTCATTCGCTGCTTCTTCAAAAGCAAAGGTATCTTATATCATGCTTTCTCCATGTCCTTTCCTTTGTCCTTGTTATTACTCGCATGGCAAAGTGAAAAGAGCAATCAGACGGCACTTGGAGTCAGTTTTCCGATCTACCCTCTTCAATACGAATTGGGGAAAGATTGAACAAAGAAACAGGTCATCACTTCCACCTCCTGCTTGCCTGCCATGTGTCTGAATCCTGCTACCCAATTCAAGAGTAGCACAAAGGAAAATCAACGGTAGGGGGAGACCAAAAGAATCCTCCAGCCCAGTTCAAGATCAAGCCTCGATGGCCCTTGAAGAAATCACAAGTCCGATTCAAAATCAAGTGTTCACCACCCTTGAATCAAATTCAACTCCAGATAAAAGGAGTAAGTTCAGACCTTCGGAGGAGACCAAAAGAATCCTCCAGCCCAGTTCAAGATTAAGCCTGCGGAAAATCAACGATTGGAGGAAACCAGAAAATCTTCCAGTCAAGCTCAAGATCAAGCCTCGATGGCCCTTGAAGAAATTTCCAGCCCAATTCAAGATCAAGCCTCGACGGCCCTTGGGTTGACATCTACATTAAAGAACTTCAAAACGCATCTTCTACACGTGACAAGCACATGCCTACGACGCGCCTTGAAGTGGGGGCATTTGTAGACATCAAAATTTCGGTGAAATAAATGTTGACCAATAATTAAAATTTCAACGTTCATGTGTCACATAAATTTTACATGTAGCGTGTGATTCAACGAAAAATCGAAATAAATTGGAAAAGTCATCAAGTGTGACACGTGTCAATACCTGGCAGAAATGATTTATTTCATCTGATTATTTAAATCCAAAAATCAAGTTTTGGAATTCTATAAATAGGAGGCCAAGGCATTCATTTTGGAGGGGGAAGAAGGAAGGAGAAGGAGAAAGGAAAAGAAGAAAAGAAGGAAGGAAGAAAGAAAGAAGCCTTGAAACTCTAAAGCTCTCAAGCAAATCCCGAAGGATCAAGAAAGCAATCTTCGTTCTTCGTCAAATCCAACCTTCAAGATCAAGCCCCGACGGCCCTTGAAGAACTTCCACCAACTCAAGATCAAGCCCCGACGGCCCTTGAGGAAAGTGTTCATCATCCACACATCCGTTCATCCTTCAAGATTAAGCCCAAAAGCCCTTGAAGATCCGTTCATCCTAAGATCAAGCCCCAACGGCCCCTTTGGATCAACAAATCCACACATCCGTTCATCGTTCATCATCCGTTCAACCTTCAAGATCAAGCCCCAACGGCCCTTGAAGATTCATTCATCATCCGTTCATCATTCAAGATCAAGCCCCAACGCCCTTGAAGAACTTCCACCAACTCAAGATCAAGCCCCGACGGCCCCTTGAAGAAAGTGTTCACCGTTCATCATCCGTTCATCCTTCAAGATCAAGCCCCAACGCCCTTGAAGAACTTCCACCAACTCAAGATCAAGCCCCGACGGCCCTTGAAGAAAGTGTTCATCGCTCATCATCCGTTCATCCTAAGATCAAGCCCCAACGGCCCCTTTGGATCAACAACCTCAACAAATCCATACATCCGTTCATCCTTCAAGATTAAGCCCAGAAGCCCTTGAAGATCCGTTCATCCTAAGATCAAGCCCCAACGGCCCCTTTGGATCAACAACCTCAACAAATCCACACATCCGTTCATCCTTCAAGATTAAGCCCAAAAGCCCTTGAAGATCCGTTCATCCATCAACCTTCAAGATCAAGCCCAACGCCCCTTGAAGATCCATTCATCAGCTGTGCATCCTTAGATCAAGCCCCGACGGCCCTTTGGATCAATAACTCATCCACAAACCCACACCCTACGAAGATAGAATCAGAGGACCAAATTACAAAGAGATTGTAACCCCAAAATCATTAATACAAAATATTATTTTGTACACGTATTCTTGTCGCTTGTTTCAGGAATTTCTCGTGTTTACAAATACTCTCTGATTCACTCACGAAAAGGAAGTATATACAATTATTCTTAGTCATGACGCATTTATCAAAATTTCTTTAATTTTAATCTCATTTAACAAGAAATTTCCGACAATCTGATGAGAATAGACTCTGAATGACTCACAAAAAGAAAGCATATACAATTATTCTTTGGTCATGATGCGTTTATCAAATTTTCTTTAATTTTTATCTCATTTACCGTTCAAAGTTAAACTTTAATTCTGTCCTCCAAATGGTTAATCGATTTGATTTTCTGTTCTAAATGTCATTAAACAACAAAAACACTGATTAAACTAATAATTATAATCGATCAGTCTTGCTAAAAAAAAGTAAAATATATTTGGCACATGGTCCATGCGCATCCTGTTGGAAACAGCGACGTGCACTTTCCGTGGACAAAACAAAAACCCAGAAAATGAAGTCCGAGTATTCCTTAACTTAATCAATCTGAAAGACCTCTGGAGAAACATCAAGCTCTGTCTCCCCTTGACGTTTTCCTCATTGAGCTCCCCCTTAACTCCAATGGACTTTTCTCGCTCCCTCAGACTCCAAACTCTCGAGTTTCCTCTCAGATTCCAAACCCCAATCGACCACCTCCACCAAAACCCCACATTCTCGGTCCCCGGAGGAGCTCGCGGCCGGATTGTTTCAGCCTTGAGAAGGCCACCCATTGAAGGTTTGAGCGAGGAGCTGAACTCGATCGCCAGGCGGAACCTCGACTTTGCCCGCACTCGCCGGCAGGTTCGATCCGCTTTCGTTGAAGTTCAGGAACAGCTCGATCATGTCTTGTTTAAGGTTGGTTTCTTTCGATTTTACTTACGATTAACATTTTTGTTTCTTTTCATCGTCAATCATCTAATTGTTCGTACTTTTGGTTTGGTGGGCAGTTTCCAACTGGGATCAGAACAGAGGAGGTAAAGTTTTAATTTTGCTCATCTCAAACTATTATGTTCTGTTTGGTTTCTGAGAAAATATAAGTAGGGCTGGTTAATGATACTTAAATGATTTCCGCACACCAGTTCTCTGGTTATGCACCCTGTTTATTTATGTTGAGTGTACGGGGAAGAAAGGAGGCGTGCGGAAATCACTTTTCGTGGTGATATTGTATCCCTAGTATTTTTTACTGTTAATTGGGTTTGTAGTGGTACGAAAGGAATTCGAGGGGGGTGGAGATTTTCTGTAAAAGCTGGATGCCGAAACAAGGTGTTCGAATTAAAGGTGTTTTATGTTTTTGTCACGGATATGGTGATACTTGCGTTTTCTTCTTTGAAGGTTTGTGTCATTCCTTTCAAGTATTAAGTAGCCAGTGTGTTCTTGATTTTGGTATATTGTTGTATAGTTGAGACGAATTTTAAGGTTTTAGAACACATGATATCGGTCAAAGTTCGGATTTTTCAGGTATTGCCAGGCGAATTGCTGCAGCCGGGTACGCTGTATATGCCATGGACTATCCGGGTTTTGGTCTTTCAGAAGGATTGCATGGTTACGTCCCAAGCTTTGATCAATTAGCTGATGATGTGATCGAACAGTACACCAAGATTAAAGGTGTTGCACTGATTAGCATCTTGATCATCAGATACTGCAACCTTGCCTTATTATCTTTTAGCGTAATTAATTGAAAAGGTGTTGCTTTACATATTTTGACAGGAAATAAGTATTTTCAGGGATCTTAGACTGATTAATTCTTCTGAATTATGTTTGACAGAAAGACCGGAGCTGAAAGGGTTGCCCCACTTTATATTGGGGCAGTCCATGGGTGGTGCCGTTACTCTCAAAGTGCACCTAAAGGAACCATATGCATGGGATGGAGTAGTTCTTGTGGCACCAATGTGTAAAGTATGTCTCTTGTAGTTCGGTGGAATTTAAAGGTTTCCATGTGTCGAGAAAAAGTTTGAGTCTCGTTGTTAAGAATTTCCTTGCGATGACTGTTTTTACAAATTGAGCATTTACTAGAGACCTCATCAGGAATTTGCACAAATCCTCTTTTGGTTTGCAGGCATGGAACTGTCTTGAGGAATCAAGGACCTCCATGCTATTTGTGGGGAAAAATGAAAATTAGAGGACACTATTTCAACAAGACCCTGAATATTACACTTCTTCAAATATAGTTTCTCGCGTGCAGACTTTCTTAATAAGTTTAATTCCATCGTTATTTTTCCTTCCTGAAAGTTTTGCTGACCTTGAGTTGATGAAAGATTGCAGAAGACGTAACTCCTCCAGCGGCAGCTCTGAAGATATTAACTCTCATGTCAAAAGTTATGCCGAAAGCAAAGCTTGTCCCACAGAAAGATTTAGCGGAGCTGGCCTTCAGAGACCTTCGGAAACGGGAAATGGTTTGTCTTTCATTTTCTCTACCCACAGGAATGCACGTGTATGAAAAATGTGATGGACATGATTTATTACAATAGCGAAATATCTTTATCTGCTTTAAGAGGATACAAATTTAAAGTATCAAATGGAGGTAACTGAGACAGTATTTGCTCATCCCTTATCAGGCTGTCTACAATGTGATATGCTACAACGACAATGTGCGGTTGAAGACTGCTGTGGAACTGCTACAAGCTACTAAGGATATTGAGATGCAACTCGAGAAGGTCAGTTTCAGCAGTATATTGTGTCTGATGTGCATCCATTCTTACATATTGCCACTGCACACGTTTAATGTTATGTCCCGGACTAACAAAATTGGAGATGTGTCAGGTATCAGCGCCACTCCTAGTTCTTCATGGAGCTGCAGACAAGGTGACTGATCCTCGGGTGAGCCAGTTTCTTTATGAGAAGGCCTCTAGCAAGGATAAAACCCTAAAACTCTACCCGGAAGGTTATCATTCCATTCTCGAAGGAGAACCCGATGACAGAATTCTTACCGTCCTTGACGATATTGTCACTTGGCTTGATTCCCGCGTTCCCCTTCATAGCTTTTCTCTCTGAATTTATGTACTCTACCATTTGATCTATTGCTTTTGTTTTTTCTTTTTACGCATTCTGGTGAAGAAACTGCATACCTTAAGTTATCTAAATTTAAACGTTACATGATCGTAAGTTCATTCGTTGTATCACAGATTCATCATCTATGCAAGTTGTCTCAAATTGTTTGAAATAGAACATTCAGCGTGTTGAACCTTACCATGCTGGGGTTTGAAAAGATTCCCTCTCTCTCTCTCTCTCTCTCTTAGATAACAACCCAAAACCCTTTCCTTCCCCAATCGCCGACCCCTCCCTTTGGTTGGGGTGGGATCGGTGACAACCAAAATATTTCAGCATGCTTTTCTCTTTCTCTAGCCCCTTCTTTCTTTCTTTATTTGGTTTTTACTTTTGGTTGCTGTTTCTCTGAGCTTATGTCTCAGTGCCTTCTGAGCTTTGTCTCAGTTTGCTCTAAGCTTGTCTCAAATCTGGAATTTATACCTTTTCCATCACCAAAATTCGTCCTCACCGCGAGTTCTCACCGACATAAGTCTGCTACTCAGCCCATCGGGTGCCTCCTCGAGGGGTCTCATCCGGCAGCACACTTTAGTCGTTTGTAGCTTTTTATGTTCGATTTGCACTATTTGGTAGGAATATAGGAGCGCTCAGAGCTCGGATAGCTTGGCTACTCCTATTTTACTTTCATCCACTTGTTTCGTTGGTTCTTCTTCAAAGTGGTAGCGTCTTTGCGCTGGTGGTGTGGCTGACTTGGTGGTTGTGGTTGCTTTCCTTTTCTAGTTTTAGGGTTTTTTTGTATATGGCTGCCTCTTGCGGCCTATTTTATTGGAATTTTTTACGTGGAGTTGAAGTTTTGCTTGGCTATTTTGGACTGAATTTTTAGGATGTTCTTACCTTGTACTAGCTCTCTTTAAAGAAAATCAACTTTAATTGACCAAAAAAAAAAAACTTAACATAGTAACTCTCATTTTATCCCCCAATAAAATCAAAATGCTGTGACTAATCTCTCCATAAGTGTGACTTGCAAGAGATTTTCTATCACGGGCACTCAGGTGATTTTTTTATTTTCTTCTAAAAATAAAATTGTTGAAAAGTGAATTTTTTTTATTCACTTCATATCCCTTCATAATTGTAGTTACTTCTTGTTCTTTTAACCATGGTGATTACCTCTAAATATTTGAGCTAAGTTTTTTGCCTAACTATATTTTTCGATCTTTTTAACGATTTTTTTTTTTTTGATAAACAGGAAATACAAAACCCGGGACGATATTTTGGTACTAGCTACAATAATTGAATGTGATCCATTATTTAGACGTTTATCGTTTGGTATGCAGACGGGACGGAATGGAATGGAACGGGACAGGACGGGACGGAACGGAATGGGATGGGACAGGACGGAACGGAACGGAACGGGAGCAAAGATGCCCTAGGATGGAAACAAGGAGGAAGAAGAAGGAGACGGAGAGGTTATAATTTTGTGTTTCACGGATGTGGAACGAGTCATTCCAGGGGGTGAGGTGGAACGAAAATTCACCCAAAACTCGTCCTGTGGAACAACTCGTTCCACCCGTTTTAGGCGTACCAAACGTGGGACGGAACGCCTTGTCCCACTCCGTTCCGTCCCGTCCCACGTACCAAACGGTACCTTAATGGTCAATGAATTTATTTTATTATTTTGGTGAAGCTCCCTAATGCTTTTTTAATTGAGAGTTTTAACGAAAAATTCGCGGTACTGTTCATTTTAACGAAAAACTATATTTTTACGTTAAAAAGTCAATTTTGATATATTCACTTTACTTTTTATTTTGTGCTTATCGTTCAATTCTAATACTATTCATTTTATTTTTTATTTTATACTTATCGTTAAAATTCAAAGTTTTCAAATCTTTTTTATTATTATTATTTTTTATTATTTTTAAAAGAGAAAATTAGCAAAATAATAAGGTCGGTAAGGAACCACTGATCAGAGGTTGACCCAGAAGTTGAAAACAAGTAGTTGATTTTCTGCGATCGTCCCTCACAAACTCTAAACATCGCAGGCCTTTAAAGATTTTTATTAAGCGATCGGCATTCCACAAGAGGCTCGTTGTCCTCGTTAGGCATCCATGTCTCTGTTAAACCAGCTCTTCAACAGAGGCGTTTTCGGCACAAAATGGTTGGTGAATCACATCCTTTTACTTGTTTGTTTCATTAGTCGTATTAATCATCTGGGTCTCCTTGTTCTTTGCTTATCATGATTTAATTTTGTAATTAGTTATCCAGAATTTCTTGTTTTCGTGAAATTTTAGTTTAATAAATGCTCAATACGTTGTCGAAATTCTTGATTTTGGGAGGTACCCAATATTTGTCAATGCATGTTACCATCTGGGTTTCTTTGATTATGTCATTACTATACTTGTGGAAATACTTTGATCGGCATTTCTGAGCTGTTGGCGCTAAATGTTCATTGTTTTCAGTAAATTGGTTGTTTGTGAACTCTCCCGGGTGTGAAATTTGGAGACTTGGAGGCAAATTTCTAAACTTTTTCATTGCTGTTGTAATAAGGGGTTCTAAATCCTTAACCTTGGCGGGTTTGTTTTGTAGCAAAACATGTTTGAATTTGGGTATTTCACGCATTAAATTGCTGCAAAACAAGAGAGATGTGCAGCTCAAACATATGCGCAAGGAGATTGCGCAGTTTTTGCAGGCTGGCCAAGAAGCAATAGCTCGAATTCGGGTACAACTTCCAAAATTGTAACAAAATAATGTCTATGCCTATTTGATTGGTATCTGTTTCTTGTTTGAATTGTTATAGATAATTGTGGTGAACATTTGATAATGGTCAGGTGGAGCATGTTATACGAGAGCAAAACATTTGGGCTGCTTATGAGATATTGGAGCTGTTCTGTGAATTTGTACTTGCACGCGTTCCCATTATTGAAAATCAGAGGTAAGTTTCGGCTTTAGATAACTTCCGACACTTGGCTTCCCTTGTCATATATGAACATGTACAGACTAGTTGCATTACTCTAAATATGTACTTTGGAGTCTATCATTGTTGTTTGTTTAAAGCAGTAGGACATGAAGACACAAAATACTAATGCAAGTTGGAAAAACTTTGAGCATTGCGGTTTGTTTTAACCAGCAGGCATATTGGAACTGTGTTACTTTTGCACACATGTATGTTATGTAAATATAATTTATTTATGCCACTCAATTTCTTGACCAATTTTTCCCTAATTATAGGGAGTGTCCAACGGAATTACGAGAAGCTATATCGAGCATAATTTTTGCTGCCCCAAGATGCTCAGATGTTCCAGATTTAATGCAGATCACAAATTTGTTTACAGCAAAATATGGGAAGGAATTTGTATCGGCTGTGTCTGAGCTTCGTCCTGATTCTGGTGTCAACAGAACAGTTAAGCGGTTTTATTGCTTATGCAACTGTGAGTCTTTGAAAAACAGCATCATATTTGTAAGATAAAACTGATACCACTTTTCAATTGGTTTTGTAAAATTTTGGCAGATAATTGAAAAGCTTTCAGTTAGTGCTCCTTCTGGAGAGGCAAGGCTTAAGGTATTGAAGGAAATTGCACAAGAGTACAAGCTGAATTGGGATTCTTCTGACACTGAAGCGGAATTCAGTAAAAAGCATGACGATCTGCTGGTACTTTTCCAAACTAAGTTCTTTTCCGTTTTTAAAAGTGATTAGTTGTAGCTTAATCTTCAAACATCATTTGTGTCATGGTTTAGTTTTGTAGTCGTCAATGGGTGCAACTTCTCATGATCAGGAATTTCTTGTGTGTGCTGGTTTCAATTGTCATTTTTGTCAACAGTAACCCTTTTATTATTCGATAATGGGTGCAACTTCACAAGCATATTCATGATACATGATTTTTTGGTTTCAATTGTCATTTTTGTCAACAGTAACCCTTTTATTATTCGATATGGATTCAGTAGCTTGATAGGGAATTGGATATTAAAGTGGATTGATTTCGAACAACATTTGAAATTGGACTCGCATCTTGAAACCATATGTTTGAATTTATTAGGAGATTTTAATGTTATTTACACATTGATTACAGAAGTTGTGGCCTTTTTTCTCATTATTTGTAGGGTGGATCGAAGCACGTAAGTGGTGCTGCTGCACCTTCTCAAGCTCCCGCAAAACGAGTAACTTTTAGTTCCCCACCTTCTAATGGGGCACATACTATTGTGCCTGCGGATATTAAACAAGAACCTCAATACCTTCATGCTCCAAGATCTTTAATCAAGACACCATCGTTCAGTAGTGAGATTCAACCATCAGGAATGATGATAAAGCAAGACCAGTTAGCGAAACCAAAGGGGAGACAAGACCACAATCATCTGATATCTTGGACAGAGCTCGAGCTGCCATTGCCTCTGCTGAGCGTGCATCTGCTGCTGCCCGTCGGGCTGCAGAGCTGGTTAAGTCCTTATAGTGCTCAAGTAAATCATTTGGACCAAGTTGCACAGGAGGAACAGCACAAAATAAAACATACGTTACTACTCTAGGTAATACAGTTTCCAATAGTTTGTAAAGAAAGTGCTGAGGATTCAACCGTACTTGTGAATACGATTTGTATATTTGTATCTTATCTTATGACGTCCAGAACTCATATGTTTCTCTTATCATTCGCAAATTGTTGTTATTGCAATCACTTTTTCTACAACAGATCTTGTGTCGTGACTGATTGGAGGGCAACTGCTCTGGCTTTCACACCGATTCCCGACATATTTCGTCTATGAGCCAATGAGGCATTAGTTGTGATTGTGATTTGCATATTTTCATTAGCGAGATGGAAGAGTAAAAGCCATCTAATTACATGCCATCATTAAGTCAGTTGTGTGGATATTTCTTGTTGTTGAAAATGTTGGATAATATAGACCAATCATATTCAGATATTGTCCTTGATAATTATGTATTATCCTCTATGACCAGTAGGCATGGACTCACAATATGCACACATGAAATTTTGAATCGGAATTTCATGTCTTCCAACAACACCGGATGCTATGTATTAGTTTGCTGTGCCAGTAAGGTTCCACTTTTCTTTTCTTCATTTACATGACTAACTAATTTCATTTCATGAATCATTTCCATAGTTATATGGTTTGTAATTATATATATGCTAGGTGTCCGGACTAGTTTAAGGATTTAATGACGGAAGAAGAGAACGGATGTGGTTGGATCGATGTTCAAAATATTTGGTCCATGCGAAAATGTAAAGATGAGAAAGTCCAAGTCAGGACCCAACCATTGTTCGTTTAATTAATCATGTAATCTTTGTATAATCTCTTTAAGGTAAGCATAGATTTCTTATTACACCAGAAACTCGTCTGGTAATTTACTTTAACTTTTCCGAAGCTGGAACCGTATATATGTATGAGGAGAACCACAGTAACATGACTTTAAAGTTTGACATAGATGATCAGAACAAACCAAAACATTCTTGTTTGCTCCCCAAGAGAGTCCGATCCGACCTACAACGACACTGCCATATATCTATCACAGCTGCTGCCACAGCCTGATGAGCCTCGATCTGAGAGCCCTATTGCCCTAGATACCTAGAGCCTAGAGGGCTAGACCTAATAATATAAGGCTGCACTATTGCATATATATATATATATATAAAGTGTATGTATATGTACATTTAACCTAGCAAAGCAGCTAGGGCTTATGATAAATATGACGGTGCAGTGGCAAGGAGAGACAAGTTTACAAGACCTGATGGTGGGTATAGTTGAACATAGATAGAATCACACTTCTCAACGACAGCTTCTCTCGTGCAAACACGAAACCCACGTCGGTTTCTCAAAAGACAAAAGTACTCTCTAAGTATGCTTGCAGGAAACTTCAGCAAACACTTCTGAAAGGCACACTTACAACAATTAGCAGTGCGTTTTTATTCACTGTGTCTGTGTCCGTGTCGTGACAAAGATGTAACATTGTTGGTTTAGCATTTTAGCAGCATGCAGGGCTAGAGAGAGAGAGAGAGAGAGAGAGAGAAGGAGAGAGAGAGAGAGAGAGAGAGAGAGAGAAGGAGAGAGAGAGAGAGAGAGATTTATAATTAGACAGCTTTATATGTATATGAGGTGTATATATCACACCAAAAATGAAAACCTAGTTTGAATCATAAAATGCCATAAGAGGTGGTGGTGGTGCTCAACGGAGTAAGATTCTCTCTCCTCCTATTTCCTTCTCCTTCCCTCCCCTCCTCCCACATATTGATTTTTGTCTTATTGTTTTAAAAAAATATTAATATAAGATATATGTTGACGTGGCTAAACCATAACCGTTCAAATAAAAGGAGAGAGAAGGAAAGAAATATTAGGAAGGGAGAGAATCCTCCTCCGTGCTCAACCGCGTGACCTTCACCAACAACCCACATTGATATTGTTGAACTGAGCAGTCGTTTTCGTCTTGAACTTCGTTTTAAAATCCTCATTTTCCATTGGTCGCTTGCTTCAGACCTCCCAGCTGCACCTTCTAGTATACTTCTCATCAAATATATGTGTGTTGGGCAGATTTGTGACACCAAAGAAAATACACAAGTTCTAAATAATTAGATTTATACAATTTTAACGGTTGAGATGCAATCTGATTAATCCAATTAATTATCTTTCTTTAAATAATTATGTATCAGGGAACAAAATTCTAAAAACCTTGTAATTAAAATTTATAATTCTCCTCCCTTTTCCTGCTTGATTATTTCTTTTCCCTTATCCTCTTCATCGTCCTTCCTTTGTGCTCATATGAAGGCCTATTTACTATTCTATTTAATATACCACGCTGCAGATGCTAAGGCAACTGGTAAAAGCATCCGAGTAGGGAGACAAGATACCTTGACCACTATTCATTCTTCTCTCCATCGTCCTCCCCTTCTATCTTGTTTTCAGAGTTTTTTTTTCTATTTTATTTTTTTATTTTTCCACATCTTTATGGTCATATCTTAATTCACCAAGCAACCTTTTGTGCCTTGCAGCTATAGCGCCTATGACTACAATTGATTAAAGGCAAAGAATGAAATTATGTTCTGCAGACTATGGCCAATAGTTGATTGCAGACCCCTAACTGAATATGAATAATATAGCCAATAACTCTACTTGATTATCCTGGTTCATGATGCCGGATATGATTGAAGACATATTAACCGTTTTCATCTTACAATTTAAAATCCCAAGTGTCAAGACTATATTAAGTGGATCCATGAAAAAAAAAATGCAGAACGACGTATACAAGGGGAATTGGAGAAGAAAGAGTGGAATAAGTAAGGGGAGAAAATTAGTAACGCACAACTAATGAGATAAGAGAGAAAATAAAATTTATAATTAAAAGTTTTATTTAACTATTTAAATAAATAAATAAGGTTAATGAATAACTTTCGACCTCAACAAAATCGTACGAATTTAATGGCCCAGAACTTGTGTCAAATTCTTGTGTGAAAAATGTGGTGGCACCCATCCGTCAATATTAGGGTTGGATATGGGGACGCATATTTTTATACATATTTTCACTTACGTTTTGATGCAGCTAACTCATCCGTAACATATTTTAATGATCCAACAATTTATCTTTTATATTTTTTCTCAAATATTATATCTACCAAAGATCATCTAAAAATCATATGATTATTGGATTAAATTTAATTTTTCTTGCCAAATTGTATTCAACCATTTTATTTATTACAAATGATGTCTTAATAATTTTAGATTTGTGTAATTTTTTATAAAAATGATTTATGAATAATGTACTAAAATATAGACGGTTCGAATCGTTGAAATACATCACAAAGTGGGGATAAAAAACGTGTCTCTCCCAATCCTAATTCATGTTATAACGAGCTAAAATTGAAATATATGGTTAAACACAACACATGCAAAAGTACGACATACAACTGTCCTATGCCCTTAGGAAGGTACGTGTGGAATAACAAGGGCAAGATGCTTGATGATTGCGAAGTAACCAAACAAGTGGAAACTGTTTGATGGTTGCGTTGCAGCTATTCACTTTGGACTATAATTAGATTATCATCTTTAAATTTTACTTTAAACTTTTTGCACTATAGAGAGAGGAACATTACATTCGTGAGAAAATGAATGAAGGATATGGTTGAGAGGAGGGTGACATGAAGGAGAGAATGCATTGAGCACAAATTTCAAGTGGAAACTAAAGGAAGTTTCACTTCAAAACCAACTGATGAGGATGAGTAACACAACTTCTTATAAATAGCAAGATTTCTATGGTGGTTAACATGCTATGTAGTAAAGAGTTTTTCATACCACAATCCAAATCTTTCACATGAATTGAAGAGAAAAAAAGCTAAAGTTTGCGGAGATCACTCTATTTTCTCATTCAACTAAAATTGATTAATTACAAGCTTAATTATGCTAAATAGAATTAGCTAAAGTGACTAATCATGACAATTGTATTAACTAACAATAGAATTGTTGAAGAAGAAAAAACAAGAGAAATTACCAATGGTCCAATTCGTTTGCCTATTAATTAAAGGCGGCTTTCTTTGTAAAAACTGATGGCAGCGGTATGTATGTCGAGTTAAAAGTATTTTGGTAGTTGAAAGAAAGAGAAAAAAAACCTAGCTAGCTACTTACTTTCTTTCTTTCTTTCTTTCGCTCACACAGTACACAGAACTCACACGCATACACAAAGAGAGGGAGATATCTCAGATCATATCAGATCAAGTGATCAGAGACTGTTAGCAAACCAAATAAATGAAAGGAGATAACAAAGATACAGCAACTGATCGAGTGATGGATCAGTTAGCTTACAGAGACATCAAAATAATTCACTGTAAAAAGCTGATCAAATATTAAGCAAAGCTGGGTCTATATCCAATGAGCCCGTCTACTTTTGCTGAGGCTATATATATTTTGTAGTTTATGCATGCGCGCTCCACCTCTCTCCCCGTATTTCAGTTTCAGCCTCTGAATCTGATCTCTCTCGAGTATTAAGTTATTACAGTAACTATTATTAATTTTATATGCAACTTTTAGGAGTAGTTTATTGTCGAAATAACTTTCATGCCATGAGTACTCTATTACTTTAGCTTCCGTGTAAATTTCATAAAAACATGTGTAATTTTTCTTCAAACGTCATTGTTTCATTGATACACGACGCCGTCTTTATGATATACACACACCATGTAAATTGCTCTCTTAATTATTGGCCTTCTACATATGTTTACAAAAATTCATAATTATTATCCGTGATTCATCTCTTTCTCTCTCCGTACCCGGATCTTTGTCAACCTAGCTATACAGTCTCATACCTTTCTTCATAAGATATTTATATCTTGGGATCGCACCAATATTGAGAAAGAGAGAGTACACTTCCCAGAATATTTTTTTATGACAATTAATTGAGTTAGTCATGCTTTTAGAAGGATGATTACAATTTCATTATCATCTTATAAGAGTGAAATATAACAAAGGAGTACACTTCTTAGGCTAAATTAAAAAGCATCAGTATGCTTACCACTAGGGCAACCCTAAACTGTGTTCAGAAACTGCATTTATATATAGTACAGTTGATTGATTGATTTTTATTTCTAATTTTGTATTGAGTGATTTTTATTCTAATTTTTGTTCTTTTGTTTTCGTAATTATATCTTGTATTTTATGTTCTTGATAAGAAAAGAAATATAGGTTTGTTTT